AGACCCACATTTCGTCCATGCGTGACGCGACGACTACCGCCCCTTTTTACGCATGCATGAAGCTCCAAAAAATTGGAACAATATTGTGTTATCTTTGAAAACTTTTTTTTTGGAGTAATGCGCATCCTAACTTTTTATCGTCTATATAAATCTCATTACTGATATTCCTTCTGCAATAATACCAAAACTCCCGTTTCTCAATGTATGCACGAAGACAGTACGGCTGGTGTACCGACCGATGCGCAGCGGAGGTCGATGCGCGGCGTACTGTCCTAGTGCATACTTTGAGGTATTCTCTTCATAACCTTAACCATATACACCTTTTCCTTCCAAAGATACATCATGGGAATGCCGAAATCCAAAATGTGTAGAACAGAATCAGCGAACTTCTTTGTGTGTTACGCGCGCAATCATTCCATATTTGGAATTTACATTTCCGTATATGGTAGGATGAAAATACCCCATAAAATACCGCAAAATTACGGCACGCTGTAACTTATGGCGTTACGGTGACAGATGTATAATTTTAATGAATAACATGGTGGCGTATATCGTATTTAGCGCCCTGTTCTATCTACACAAACAAGGGTTGATTCATATCATTATGTTGAATTCAAATCCACTTTTTATCAATATTTTGTAAAATTTTGATATCTGATTTTTATACATGTAGAATTTTCTAATTTTTGTTACCAATATCGCATGTGAGAAAACACGAAATTCACGTAAAAAATAAATATACGAAATCGGCACAAAGTAAATGAGCGCCATCAGTGGTGAAACGTGGTGAAGATATGCGCATTGAGGTCATTTCGTGAACAATTTTTATTTATAATTATTAACTTAGATACAATTCATAAATTGACGTATTTTCACGATGAACGAATCACGGATAATCTTTTTTTGAAAAAAACAAAAACAATGTTGGTTTATACCTGAGTGAATGGCTGCCACGTGTCATGATTGTGCTGTATTATATGTTAACTAAAAAATTGTGACAAAAGGAGAAAACATCGTGTATTTATAAAAATAATAATCCATGTTTTAACAACTGCGACACTTATGAGCGATGTTTGGCTTATTTCTCAACACACGACACTGTAACATACAACTAAACGTTTTAATTATAACACCATGGAAGGATATCTCCATACTGAATATAACCCAAAAAATATTGCCATGCGATTTATGACCAAATAATGTGTAGGAACTGTTGTCGGAACTGCGCGTGCGTGGTCCTATTATAATTCTGTTATCTGTTGTTTTTTTCAGATGCGGCATATACCACAAGTGTAAACCGGGCAAGGAGAAAGCTACGTCAGTGTTAGTTAAGGCTGTTGATGACATCGTTAAAGGCGTGGTGGATATCACAAGGTCAAATAATCTCACATGTCTGTATGTTGCTAAGCAGAAATTCGATCAGGTATGTTTGTTGGACGCATATGGCCGCTGACATCTCGATGATCCAAATACTATGCTCACATATAACAGGAGAACAGAAGAAGCGATAACAACGAAAATGAAACACTATTTTGAGAAAAAACAAATGCACCTTGAACGAGGCTGGGGTGTCACGTGCACCTGAACCCGGCCAATCGTTTAATGTTGCTTCTATTTCGTTTCAGGTTATAATCTCTCTTCTCAAGAAAACGCAATTAAGAATATTTACAATGGAGGACGTGCTGAAACTAGTCCCAGAAATACAGAAATATCAAAACGACGACTACGTAATATCGCTCATAGAACAAGAATTCACAGAAAGTAAGGAGTGTATCATAATTTCTGCAGGAGGGGGGGGTTAAACTGATCGACATAGGGGCACATAGTGCCACACTATGCTTAATGAATGGTCCCTAAATGTTACCCATCCTTGATTGGCGGTGGAGGGGGGGGGGTCTGTCAATTATTAAATTTTATTCAAATTCTATTATTTCTTATTTAAAAAAAAAAATACAATCCGGTGTAATCATAAATCATAGTAGGACATTGTCACTTAGTTTAACGACAGCAGTTGCACCCTCTAACGACGAAACACAAGAATACGTTAAATATGACGTAATGTTTGAAGCAAAGTCATTTTTTTTATTTGTGTGTTAGTTCGTTAACCTCTCGAATACTAAATTATTTTGTAAAATATGGGGAAAACATGGCGGGAGGCTACTAATATACCCGATATTAAATGGCCGACGAGGTCACACTTAGTTTCCCCCTCAAATAATGTTCCATACTCCCCCGTCATCAAGTCCACTGTTCAAAATACCATGGATACCAATCGGGCGATAGTAGGAGAGAATAGTACACCATTTGGGGTGGAGGTGGCCATTTGTGTCACATGTCGATTGATTTTTCCATAGGCCAATAAATGAATTACATTTAAAAATACTGATTAGACATCTTATTGCTTGATCTTAAGATCAAAATAATTCGAAACTCACACAAATCGGGGATTTTTAATAAATCTAATCTAATTTAATTTAATTCTTCTTCGAGACGTCACTTGACATATCATCATAACAAAATAAAAACCGAAAGTGTTTTACTGTTAACATTGCTTTTTGCAATGCTGCGCATGTATCTGCGCATATATGGAATAATGAACTACTAATTTGCATATAATTGTACATACAAACATTGTGTTGTGTAACGGAAAATATTATCACACAAGAAACTCATTAAATTAAATGCATTTGTTTTTGTTTTGGTTTACACATATTATGATTAAGTTGGCAGGGAAAAATTATATATGTAGGTCAAAAGATTTAACTTCTAATATGAAATTATTTTATTTTGCAGTTGTTCCGCTGTTCATCAGTTCCAGAACCTCGAATTGGTCGTTCTACGTGGAATACACCAGATACGTGCGGAACAGGAAGACCGTAGGATTACAGGAGATCCCTGGATTGCCTGACATATTGAAAACTGGGAAGTATCTACTAATGTAAATGCTGTTCTGTGACCCAAGTAAATGGCGCTTGTGAAGACTACGGCATCTTACTAAAAATAGAACTGACGTAATCATAGAATGCTGTACACGCGTGAACGAGTTCAAATAGGGTCACGTAGGCAGACGAAACATTTTCAACCCAAACAACGTTACTTTGCTGTGATTTTCGGAGATTTGTTGTGAATCCCAAGAAAAATTATTGTCTGAACAAATCCCTGGAGATTATTTCACAACACAACAGTTATTAATGCATCTGTTGCTATTTTATCTGTTGGTGCTATTTTATGGACGACTACAGATGAAATCGTCGATAAGAATGTCCCGTCATGTTGCCTGTTCGCTGGTTTCCGGCGTCCCTTGCCAATGGCAAGGAGGACGCAGATAACTAGTAATCGCCATATTGTTCAACTGGGCCGGCAAAGGCATGTGACTAGGTGACGTAATTTGAAAAACATTCAAAGTTCCGTTCTGCGTAAACGTGTCGGTAATAGTACAATAACGTCGCGTCTATTCATTTCCTGCTTAGACTTCATACTTTAGGTGCTTCTAACATTTCACGCTATTTTTTTGTGTAACTGTTAAAAAAACAGTTTTATATTGATCGTGCAACTTTTGAAAGCGTGGGAAACCCCTGCTTTATATATGGAACGACCAGAGGGTAAGCGTTGACGTCAGGTAACCAAGGGAAATATGACAAGCAGCGAGAAAGTGACGGACCAAACAGAATGCCGGATTCGTTACTAGTTACCGGCCTCTTGTGGCTTGGTGCGCCATGACGCTTGAGGCGGGAAGCAGCCAATGTCGCCTGTTTACGTCATATTCGCGCCTCGTCAATAGAGGGCGTGGTTAACAGAAATGGTGTATTGCTATAAAGACGGTACATGATTAAATACAACATTTGTCGTACTTATAAAATCTCAACTACGAATAACACGAGTTGTTATTCATCACACACCTGTTGAATATTCACTCATGAATAATTCATCAAACACGTATCTCAATCAACAATGGAATTGCGTCAGATGTATGCATGTATTTATTTCATCGCTCCATTACTATCATCAGTCCACCTTCTGCAATAATTATGACGTCATATTTCTTTCATAAACCCCACAGAAAATCGCACGAAATACATTTATATGTAAGAACGACAATCACATTCAATGCCTTATGTGCAATTTGATTACAGAGAATTATGGTAAACATTGTATTGACTTTATCTTGATATTATATTTTGGCGTACACGTGATATTAAAATTACCGACATTTACTAAATAGGGGCCGCCGTATTGGATACGGCTTGAAACTGAATAAAGAGACTAAAATTGAATAAAGTTGAGAAGCGGGCATTTCAGATTACCTACAGGAAAAAAAACACACCAAACTTTCACAGCCAAACGATCCAATTGGGCAACATTAAGCTACTCCCCATAATAATAATAATAATAATAATAATAATAATAATAATAATAATAATAATAATAATATTAATAATATTAATAATAATAATAATAATAATAATAATAATAATAATAATAATAATAATAATAATAATAATAATAATAATAATAATAATAATGATAATAATAATAATAATAATACATATTATAATATAATAATATACCTCAAAGTATACACGAAGACAGCGGGAGTATCAACCAACGCGATGAGACGGTGTACTGTGCATACTTTGAGGTATCCTTGTAACAACCTTATTATTATGCATCCATTTCTTCCAAGGATACATTATAGGAATGCCGAAATCAAAAAAGTTTAGAAAAGAATCAGCGAACTTCCTTGTGTCGAGTCCGGTCAAACCCTGGTGGCAGCCATGTTTGTTTTTATTATTAGAGGACGCTTGCGCGCGTAATCATTCCATATTTGGAATTCGCATTTCCTAATATAGTAGGATGAAATTACCCCGAAAAATACCTCAAAAATTACGGCACGCTGTAACTTGTGGCGTTACGGTGACAGATGTATAATAATAATAATAATAATAATAATAATAATAATAATAATAATAATAATAACTATTATAACATTATTTATATTATTAACATCGCATTTTCAGTTGTTTAGATGCCCATTTTTCAAATATCTCGTAAACTTTTCTGTCCTCGACATACTCTCTCATATTGTAGTATTCTGCTGGTCTTGGATGTATAAGATTCCTAAATTCTATATTTCGAGGTAAATACATGCGAGTCTTTAGCTCTTCATTGGTGGCAGCATAGTACACACGCTTTATTCTGAAAAAGAAATGTGTACGTTGATTTTGTAGTGTTTCCAAATCATTTTATGTTTGACTAATATATACAAACTGATCACATGTATTGTAGTCGAAGCATATATACAAGGCAACAAGGCGACGAAACCTGTCAACCAAACAAGCTGCTCTCTGATTGGTCCGACTGTTAGGTGTTTGAGTTGGATAGCCAATCAGCAACAGAGTCTTGTAAGTAGCCTCGCATTGACTCTATATACAGCTGGTAAATGGTCCTTGTTTTATATTGTGTGCTTACCCCGTTAACAAGATGACAGAAGTACACATGTAACACGGTTCACAGCTAGTGTATATCTCACAGCCTTCTAACGTCAATGTTTTCATTGAGGCACATGCGTTTCTAATAGCAACCACTTCACCATGGGCAGTTGGATCCCAATAAGTAAACGCGTTGTTATATCCTTCGGCTTGAAATATAACATAAACATAGCTTATGATGTATGACGTAATAAGTGTTCATTACGAGATCTCGCAAAAACAACGTCTGCTTATAAAATTGAATGACTTGATTTTGAAAATGATTTTACTATAATAACTCAGTGTCGAAATACAGATCTTTACTTGTTCACAATTAATGATTTTCCGTTGAACTCGGGATCTCGCTTATTGCTTGAAAGGCATGTACGGAACGTCTGTCACTGAGATCGAATGATTTTGATTTTGAATTTATGTTTCTTTTTTATATCTCAATGTCGTAGTGGCGATCCTTGAGAGGGGAATATTGCGTTGAGACACCCTAACTTTATGGAAATTAATCATCATCAAATGTGTACAGCACATTATTAAGCGCAGAAATACCTCAAAAACATTTTCGCGTATTTTCGTATTTTCGCCACTACGACGCTATGACCTTTGTTTGTCCTTTTTTTTTGTTCGATTTCACGCATAACACGGGATCTCGCAATCAACTGCAAATGGTCTATTACACATCATCAAATGTGCATAGCTAAGCGTGGAATTACCAAAAGAAAAGAGAAAAAAACTGGCGCGTTTGTTGAATCGCATGCAATGTTTCAACACCACAACGTCGCTAGGATATTTGTTCTGTTTTTACGTTCGGATTACACGCCAAACGCAATGAGCAGAAAATAATTTTGTAATCACATTATTCAATAGTCATAAAAGTCTTCTGAACTTGTAGAAAATGGATACAGTTTTGAAATTCCCTCTGATAATAAATGGTTGATATTAGAGTTCTCACGTATACCAGTATACTGTAGCCATGTATTTTGTGAATTATGTGTAAACTTGGATGTCTATGAAATCTCTTTTGGGCGTCGTAGGTGTCGCTGTTCTAACATGTTTAACACGTGTGCCTTTTCATATGACAACACTTGATTCAGAAAGAACAAAACCTATATTGCTAATGATGTCAGCAAGAGGAACAACGCAAATTACCCATGTATAGAAACGGCAACTTCCTAGCTGACGATTAGATGGATATAAACACGTGACTTGTTTTCTCCCTAAGTAGTGCCCATTCCTCGCCATCTCACTCACTGTTCAAAATACCATGGTTACATAGGCCATGGTAACAGTTGATGTGGTGACGAGAGAAAATAGAACACTGTTTGAGGGGCAGAAACAAGTCTCATGGCACTCTCATTCCCAACGAGATCTCGGCGGCCATTTGCCATTACCATAAATCAGACACAGTAATTCATTCTGAGTGTCTTGTTTGAAAAAAAAACGACCTGACTGCACCATAATGTTTGCTAAATATCACAAATATTTACATGGAACATATCTCGCTCCATAGAAACTGTAATTATAATAAATATCGAGAAACAGTCGCGCGACGACCGCCATTTTCTGAAATCGTTCAGATGGTGTGTGTGTGTTTGTGTGCAAATAGTTAGAGGTAATACATTTTCGTTGTTGTAAGACTGATCACCTTGCTGACGCAACTTTATGTATATACCTATGATCTTGCCCTCTTTGACTATGACAGCTCCGACTGGTCTGGCAGTATCCGGCTTCTCCACAAACGCTCCAATATAACCGACGTCCACAGCTCTTCTGATGAAATAGCGCTTGTCTTCGTCAGATGGTGCCAGTACTTGCCGTGCAGTTGCCATCTGTATGTTTGAATAGGCACTAACAGCGTGCTCCTGCCTTATGTAATTTGAGATTTGAATCACAGAACTCGCTCACAGTCACACACTATTAGCCGCGCAACAATATGGTGGAGAGCGTTTTCTGATATCAGCAGTTGATCGCAGCACCAGTTAGGGATTATTCATCTATGACTATTTATATGATATGATAGATTACTGAATATAGAATACATGTGGACAAGCGGGTTTAGTGCTGGCAGAGGTAGCGGCAACGCGCGTGTGCACGTGTGTGTTTATATTAGAACGACTAGGGGCGGGGATAGTGCTTTCAGATTTTATACAGAAGTATCCGGGTTCTTCACCACGTGTTGTGAACGCTAGCGTTGTGTCCAGGGATCGGGCAACTTTGTCTCGCTTGGCTGATGTCACTTACACGTAGATATTTCAGATTCGGCCCAAATGAATACACATTAGTTTATTAATCATAGTCCAGCTTTATTCACACAAGTTGTCAGCTGAGGTAACCCCTCGCTGTCCCGTTCTCTCGTTCTCCCCCTTACAAAAGGTTACACACTCTTTATAATAGAAGTCAAAACACTAAGGCATGGCGGAGTAAACAGCCAATCGCTGCAGTCGTTGGCACGATCAAGTGATTACCAGGGATGTATCTCACGGTTAAAGCCCTGCAAAGTTGCCACTACTAAATACAATAAGTAAACAATCTATTTATCAAATTCCTGTTATATTTAAATAATAACACATGCTTGTGAGGGTAATATCACGATTTGTTGTCTGCCCTCGGGCTGTTAGTTATGACCATAATATCAATATTATGATCATGACCACCATCCCTTGGGCAGGCAACAAATCGTGATATTGCCCGAATAACCATGTGTTATTTATTTTATCAGATCGAACAGACGTCCACCACGACAATCACAGCTACCATAGATCACTCACACCCGCTCTCCCACAAAATAACAATACTTATATTTGAAGTACGCAATATTTTATTTTATCTATTATAACAAGTTTCACATTTTTACTCAATACCATACATACATTAATTGCTAAAAAATACACTCAGTAAATGTTATTTTCAGCCATGGATAGTCTTTTTATTTGAACCGTGTTTCAGCAGTGTGGATCACTCAAATTATCAAGAATTACATTTTTGAAATGAATTGAGAAATTCTCAAACGCAAGTTATTTGATCACTCTAGAGATAAAAATATCAGAGTGCCGTGGAAGTGACTGAAATTACTTTCTCACCAACGTACCACACCTATTCACAAGCCAACACAGCTTTAGAGTGTTTTCGGTTAGCATCGGCGTGGAACGCGTAGAAATGCTCACAGTGTAGAACGCGCTGCAGCGACCCCGGCTGCGACGTTTCAGTAGCGGCTTTGCCGTACATTTTTGCTTCATATAAAAAATACCATAACCATCAAAACAGAGTATCTTACTTAATATTCATTCTGGCACGTTCACTGTCTATTTCGGATGACTAAAGTTTCTTCAAAACCTTGAAAGCAACCCCGAAAACAACAGCGGCCGGGGCAGCACCAGTGCAGCGAACGACAATTTGTTATGCGCAGTAGTTTCAGTGACGTCACCATGTGATATACCCATGTAATATCAACTTTGCGGGCAATATACCATGTAATATCCATTCTTATTCAATGTCATGTGACCGAGTCTCAACCAATCACAGCATGCGTAACAAAAGTGAGATGTGATAAATGTTGATGATCTCCACCCTAAACAAGCAAGTTGTTGATTCTAAACAATAGTTTAACGACGTGTGAACCGAATATGCGAATGTGAAATCACTATGTCATACACAGGACACATTTGGACCATGGAACTATAAGTTCCATGATTGGACGTAATCATCGAAAAAAATATAACGCGTACTTGAAATAACAAATTGTATGTTTCATAGCGGGTGGTAAATAATTGTATGTGACATCAACATATGTACAGACAATACGAGTGGAAATATACAGTACACGTGTCGAGCTGTTATTCTGTGTGGTATGTTTTATTCACTGTGTTAACCAATGAGAACGTACCGTTTCAATAATTGATACAGTAACACTTTTAATATAATAATATTTGCATATACAATGTGGGGTGATATATATTCTGTGACGTCAATACAGATTGTATGTTCCTTATATGAGCCGAGGCTATTTATAGTTTTATATAGAATAATAACCTTACACTGGTACTGCAATCTACCGCTGGCATTTAAAGGGCGGTAGTCGTCGTGCCATGCATGTGCGACATATATGGGTCTCATATAAACAAAAATGGCGACTTTGACTGTTGCGCAGATTAACTAGTACAGGCTGAGACGTTACCAAGCTTTAGTTAAGTATTTTTTATGTAATTGGAAGGTATCGAAGGAGTCACCGGCGGTGAATAGTTCAAGTCGCGCCCAGGTCGAACCTTATACTTGTGATTTTCATTGGAAGAGCGCATTGAATTGTGGGAAAATCAACAAAAGTGTCGCACATGCGCAGCGCGACGACTGCCGCCCTTTAAACGTTTGCCTTTTTGTAGTAGTAAAGTGTACCCGGTAAACATTTCCCAATCATATGCGCTTTGCCAGGTAAAACCGTTCAATTTACCGATGGCTACTGCCAGACAACTTCACACTTATGACTAGGAACGATGTTTCATGAAAAGAGTGTGGGCCTTGGTTTTATTAGAAA